CCAGGTCATGCTGCAGTTGCAAAGGGGCAAAACAACCCCTTCTCTGAGTGTTTCCTGCTTTCTTACTCACTGAGAAACTTCCTTCTAAAATTCACATTCTACTTTCATTCTTTTGCATGTGGTTGCCCAGTTTTCCCAACATCATTTATTGAAGAAGCTTTCCTTCCTCCATTGTATGTTTTTGGCTCCTTTGTCTAAGATGAGCTGTCCGTTATCTTACAACATACAAAAAATGGACTTAAAATGGATTAAAGACTTGAAGTAATACCTGAAAACATAAAACTTGTAAAAGAAGACACAGGCAGTATTCTCTTTGACATTGCTCCTAGCCATGTCTGTTTAAATATCATGTCTAATCAGGAAAAGGAAACAAAACAAAAAATAAACAAGTGGGACTACATCAGACTAAAATGCTTCTGCATGACCAAGGAAACCATCAAGAAAATGATAAGAGAACCCACTAACTGGGAGAAAATATTTGCAAATCATATATCCAACAAGGAGTAAATTTCCAAAATATGAAAAGAACTGTTACAACTCAACAACAAAAAGTGAACAATCCAATAAAAAAATGGGCAGAGGCTGTGAACAGACATTTTTCCAAAGAATATATACAGATGGCCATGAGGCACATGAAAATATGTTCAACATCACTAATTATTAAGGAAATACAAATCAAAACTACAATGAGATATCACTTCACACCTGTCAGAATGCCTATAATTAATAACAAGTGTTGGAGAGGATATGTAGAAAGGGAACCCTCATACACTGTTGGTGGGAATGCAAACTGGTGCCACCATTCTGGAAAACAGTATGGAGATGTCTCAAAAAATTTAAAAATAGAAATAGCATATTATCCTACTATTCCACTACTGGGTATCTGTCAAAAGAATATGAAATCAATAATTCAAAAAGATTTATGCACCCCTATGTTAATCTCAGCACTATTTACAATAGCTAAGATGTGGAACCAACCCAAGTGCCCATCACTGGATGAAAGGATAAAGAAGACATGGTGTATATATGTAATCAAATACTGCTCATTCATAAAAAAGACAAAATCCTGCCATTCTACAACATGGATGGACCTTGAGAGTATTATGCTAAGAGAAATAAGTCAAAGAAAGACAAATACCATGTGATTTCATTCATATGTGAAAGATAGACAAACAAACATAGATAAGGAGAACAGATTAGTGGTTACCAGAGGAAAAGTGGGTGGGGAGAGGTTGAAAGTGGTAAAGGGGCACATGTGTGTGGTGATGGATAAAAATTAGACTATTGATGTTGAAAAATAATTAATTAATTGATTAAAAAAATACAAAGAAGAGCCTGGAATCTAGCAGGTGAAGTTAAGGTTGGGAATCTCACCACAGAAAGAAAAATTTTGTATTAAAATATTGTCCAAAAAAAAAAAAAAAAACACACCGAGACCCTTAAAAGCTATGCATTTTTATCTAATAGCTATTTTATGGCTATATTCATAAATTTTGATGTCACAGTTACCTTATCTTCAAATAGTCTGTAGCTGTAGTTTTTGTGTCCTTTTCCATATTTGTTATTAAGGATAATTTATTTATTTATTTAGTGTTTTTTTCTTTCTTTTTTTTTTTTGAGGAAGATTGGCCCTGATCTAATATTTGTTGCCAATCTTCCTCCTTTTTTGCTTTTTTTCTCCCCAGAGCCCCAGTAGATAGTTGTATGTCATGGTTGTACATCCTTCTAGTTGCTCTATGTGGCTTGATGAGCAGTGAGTAGGTCCGTGAGCAGGATCCAAACTGGCAAACCCCAGGTCGCCTAAGTGGAGTGCGCGAACTTAACTGTTATGCCACTGGGTCGACCCCTAGGATAATTTATTTTTATTTACTTATTTTGTGCTTGTTTCTGTGTTCCAGAGAATGTGGCTTATACAAATTCTCATTTCGGGAATTTTTTGAGGCTGTGACCTAGTGTATAACAGTGATAGCTAATATTTATAAAAAATTTATTATTTAGAGATATTTTAAGAAGTTCTTTATATGCAGGTTTTATTTAATTCTCACAATAATCCTATGATGTAGGTATGATTATTACACAGATGAGGACACTGATGTTTAGAGATGTTGAATGACTTACCCAAGATCACACAGTTGTAAGAGCCACTCATTAAACCCAAGATAAAAGACAAATTAAGGATCAAGCAAATTGGCAATGACCGGGGGTACCACATTACAAAGGGGGATGTATTCCCACAGGAGGTCTGGGAACTGAGAAGAACGTAATCAGATGTCTGTTTTAGCAAGTTTACTCTGATAATCTAGACTATGATCAACACTGTAAGAACTTTTAAAAAGCAATGTGTTTATGCTGGTTGTTTTCTACATTTATTTTCTATTTTCTGATATTTATTGCCTTAAGTCTTAAAAGTCTTAAGAGGAAAGGACAGCAGTAGCTCTTGGAGGAAGGGAAGCAGAAACCAAAGAGGGTAGAGTGGTATGTTGGTGAAGCTGTGAAGAGAAGGGCTCTGGTAAACTGAGTCCCAGGAATCGGAGAAGAAGCAAAAATCAAACAGAAAAACTGGGGGAGGTGGTTCTTGCTGAGAAGGGGCCTTGGACTAAGAAGTAGACAGGACTTGCCCTGATGGGTAGGAGGGAAAGGAGCCCACCTAGGTAGGTTGTGGCAGCCTTGAGGGATCAAGGGTGCACAGGAGGAAGAGCAGGGTGACAGGAAAGGATATGGAGTTCAGTTTTGGACACAGGCTTTAAAACCGTTTGGGGTATCCTTGATCTGTGAGCCAGAGATTTTGGTATTATACTGGTAAGTCCAGATTGTGTAGGAGTGAGCAAGGCCTCAAGGGAAAATATCAGCTTAAAGGCACCTATTACATGAGGCTGATAAGATCTTAGATTAAAAACAAAAATTCCGGTTTACTCACCATCCACTTTCTGGGCTTTTCTCCAGCCTGAAGTAGAACAAAGAAACCTCATGATGTACCTGGGATGTGAGAGGGTCTCAAATGGTACACAGAAGACAGAGAAGCACAGAGCTTACTAAGAGCTCTCTTTGGCGTTTCTCTGAAAAAGGACAAGAAGTTAATCAGTGCCGTCCATAGCAGAGAAGCCAAGTCTACTGGGCAAAGGGGCCTCTGGGAGACCCCTTCCTGGGCTGTGTGGAGTGAGTCCTGGGAGCCGTCCCAGAACTAGGAACACTAGGGCACAGTCAGGTCACAGGTGGGGAAGGAAATGGAGCAGGGTTGGTGGTATTGAGTGAGGAAGGACTGCATTAAAATCTGATCTTCTTCATCTTTGTCCTCTCCCTTTCCCTCTGTCCAACCCCCTGTTCCAGAGTCTTCTGTGGACCGCACTGCCTCCATCATCTGATTGGTCTACCTTTAGTCTGGCACTCTCACTCTCTGCCAGTGAAGTTTCCAGATGAAACCCAGTGCACTCACCAGGAGAAGTCCAGGAAGAAGCAAGGGTGAAGTCTGTGCTGCTGCCCAGGAAAGTCCTTCAGAAGGAGAGTTTCTAAGCAAGAATTGCTGAGCATTAGTCCTGCAGAGAAAAGCAGGAACGGGCCAAAGACAGTGGGATGTGAGGCACACAGAAGGTACCTCAAGCACTCTTCAAAATTCATGGTTCAGCCCACTGGCAGGGAGGGACCTGGCTGGGATAGCGACTCTAGGCTTGCCCCATTCTCTCCCATAGGATGGTTGGGAAACCAAGAAACCCTGAGAGTCGTTGTGGGGAAAAAAAAAAAAAAAAGCCCCTGCAACTTAAATCAAGTAGACACAAATCACCCCTGAAATATAGAACTGAAACTGAGTTCTGGAAGAACAGATAGAAATTATTCCTTTTTCTTCAAATCTAGTGAAGAGGAGCCTTCCACTGAGCATTACTTTGAATTACTTAAATACTTTTTACTTCTTTGGTCAAGATGCTTTCACGGACTTGTCCAAGCTCAGAGATAGTTGGTTTCTGATTTCTAGTCTAGTCATCTTTGCCTGGCCCCAAGCTGTTCCTGCTTAACTCTGAGAGTCAGATGTGGAGGCTTCCTAAGTGGAAAGACTCCCTGGTCCCAGGTATGTGGACACCTGAACTGGTGGTTTTGTCTTTGCATTCAGTCAGAGAGACTTTCTCTCCAAAGGACTATACCATGCATAGAAGATGAAGGCATCTCCTGGATGGTGCAAGGGCAGGGGTCTACACTAGGGCAGTGGTCTACGCTAGGACAGGGACTCCTGGGCACAAGAAAGGAAGGCATCAAAATGTACTAGAGAGGGGGGCTCTGAACAGGAGGTGAAGGAGGAGGAGGAGAAGGTGGAAGGCAGGGTTGCAGTCTCACTTCTGGGTGAGACTTTTTGCTGTGGGCAGCGCTCCTTAAGCTCCATCATCAGTCTCCTTCCAAACTGCATCCAGTCTCAACTCTTCCTCTTCTCTATCCTCTCTTCATACCGCTTGCTTGCTACTAAAGCTTTGAAGTGAGAACCACCATTCCCAAAAATTTTGTCTGCAGCTACAATAGCTGCCACCCCATCAATGGGATGAACATTCCCACCACTGGCTGCAGACTGTTCTTCCTAGATCAGTGCATGTCTCTAGGATATTCTCATTCAGCCCTGCTGCTACTATGTGTCTGTGAATGCTAAGACTCTAGGATCCTTGTAGGACTTACAGTCCAATCCCTGCCATCAAAACTTATGTAAACAAAACAAATGTCCAGATCCAGGATGGCTTAATGACTCTTGTCCTTAATATCCCTTAGCACAGTGATGGATCTGGACCTCTCTGACTAAACTTAGTGACTGTTATTCCAACTCACTGCCAGTGTTCTTCTCACCCAAAATTGTTTTCCCAATCATTGTAACATGAAAACATATTTAACATCATTGGGGACAATGGAGGACAGCCATGGCTCCAAAATCTTCATCATCTTCCATTATTTACCCTGTTGACATTTTCTTCAATTGCATGAGAAGTGCTGTCCATATGCTGCTATAGTTCCCCAAGACACTCACGTACCTGCCCCTCTGTAGCGAATTCTTGAGTCTCTCATCACCTTCTCACAAGAAAACTAGAAAGTTCTCCTAAGTGAAGAAGATGGTGGAAGAGGAGGGGAAGAACCTTTCCCTTATTCCTCACAACTTTGCTCCTTCCTGGGAAAAGTTCACACTTCAGAATCCTTGTTGTGCCCTCTCTCTAAGACCCCAATAATAACACCCAGTAGCTATTCAGTGCTTCCTCTGTTCTAGGGGCTGTGTGTATCCTCATGACTCAAGCAAGCCCCAGGGGGTGAGTTTTTGTTTATCCTTCACTACATGAAACCAGTGAGGGAGGTATTATGATCCTGGTTTTTGCAGGAAACTGAGGCTGAATCAAAGTACTCCGGTAGTGAGCAACAATGCCAGGGTTAAACCCAGCTCTGTCTGACTGTGAAGCCTGACCTCTGAACCATTTCTGCTGTGCAGCAGGCCCTCCCCGCATTGCCTTGGCCAGCCATGACCACTTGTACTGACCCTGGGGAACAGGACCTCAGCTCAGACTGGCACAGGCCCCTGATGACCACAGCCGACCTTGAGAGCAGGAGAGAAGGTGCCAGCAAGCTGAGAACACTTGACCAATGCACAGGATGTCTTTGTCCTTCCCCCAAGTTTATTTGCCCAAAGAGAGTAACATGCAACGGCTAGTATGGTTTTCCTGTTTCCTCTCAGTCTTTCTGCCATACTTACCTCATACAGAATGTTCCTTGCCCATCTCTCCTTGGTCCTCCTATCTCCTCTGTCTTCTGGCACTTTGGGTTGAGTGATATGAAATGTTTATTCTCTGGAGTTTGTCCGATTTGGGTCACAAGAGCAGAAGAGCCTGGCTCAGAGGCTGGACCAGGAGAGGCCAGGCAGTGGGGTGCACAATAGCCCCCTCTCTCTGCCTGCAGAGGTGTTCTCAGTCACAGATCCAGAAAACACTGTTTTTGAGATGAAAGAAAAGAAAAGCCAGGGAAGTGATGAGACCTAGAAACAGTCAGGTGCGTGGAAGTAGCGGAAGCCAGGGTGGAGAGCTGCCCCAGGAAGGACACCCAGGGGGCCTGGGAAAGATAGGGCCCTGTCAACAGGAGCCTTCTTGACCCCTGATAAGGCCATAGGCCAGGTAAGGTTTTATAAACTTCTTTCTCAAGGTCCTAGGTTGGAGTTCAAAGCAGACAAGTTCATTCAATAAGCATGCCTCATTGTGTGCCAGGGCTTGTATGAGGAGCCAGGGGAGCAATAAACAGAACACAGTTCCTACTGGCCAGGAATTCACAGCCAACTCATTCAAATAGTAAATAATTACCATTTACTGTGTGCCAGAAATCATTCTAAGTGGTTTATACACGTCTCAATTCCTGAGTACTTATAACAACCCTCAGAGGCAGGCACTGTTCCTCTCATCACCACCATTCTCATTATGCTCATTTTACATTCACAGGAAGTGAGGCAGAAAAAGATTAAGTAAAAAGTGACAATTAGAGAAGAGTGACTCTTTCTAGACATTGAAATCAGGCTATTTGGTCCCAGAGTGTGCTGGGGTCCAAATAGCACCAACTCTACTAACAAGGAGCAATGTGTTGGTGCTGTGATAGGGGAGTGATGGGAGATGCCAGGGAGACTTCCAGGAGGGGTGGCCTCTGAGGTGTGACTTGGAGAAAAAGAGAGAGAGAGTTACTATGACAGATAACGCCCAAATTAAAATTTGCATTTCAGATGAACCATAAACAATTTGTAATGTATGTTCCAAATATTTCATGGGACAAATTTAAATGGGCATCCTGTAGCTTTATTTGCTGAATATGGTAACACTACTCATCGGTCAGTCGTTTCCTTGTATAAAGACTGTATGTCAGGGGTTGAGGGAGTGGAGAAGATGAGACTGTAGAGCCAGACGGGGGCAGGTCACAGAGGGCCTTGGAGACCATGCTTAGCATTTTATACTTTATTCTCATGGAAGGATTTAAAAGGAGAGGGCAGTAGAGGCCCAGATTAAATGTGTGCTTTATGAAGATCTCTCTCAGGACAACCTGGAGGAAGGATAATAAAGGAAAGAGGAAGTAGGGAAACTACTGTAACAGTCCAGGGGAGAAATTACAGTGACTTGGATAGAGGCCAGGGGGCTGAAGAGGAGGGGCAGTTCCAGGAGGTAGTAAAGAGAAAGAAACAGGCCTGGCTTCATAGGGGTGTCACCTGTGCAGTTGCACAGGACCCTACACTCAGAAGGGCCCCACACTTGGTTTAATGCTCTGCTGTTGCCATCTTGAAGTTCTTAATAATTTTATCTTTGAATTTTCAGGTTTTTAAATTAAGATATAGTTGACATATACATTATATTAGTTTCAGGTGTACAGCATAATGTCTAAATATTTGTATATGTTACAAAATTATCATCACATTAAGTCTAGTTAACATCCATCGCCACAGATAGTTACAAATTTCTTTTCCCTGTGATGAAAAATTTTAACATCCACTCTGTTAGCAACTTTCCAATATACAATATAGTATTATTAACTATAGTCACCATGCTGTACATTACATCCACATGACTTTAATTTTATAACTGGAAGTTTGTACCTTTTGACCCCTTTCATCCATTTCACCCACCCCCTAACCTCTGCCTCTGGCAACCACCAATCTGTTCTCTGTATCTATGAGTTCAGGGTTTTTTTTTTTTCAGATTCTCACATATATGTGAGATCATATGGCATTTGTCTTTCTCTGTCTGACTTATGTCATTTAGCATAATGACGTACATCCATATTGTTGCAAATGGCAAGATTTTCTTCTTTCTCATGGCTGAATAATACTCCATTATATACATATATATAAAATATACAATGTTGTATTATTTAAAATATATATATATATATTACACAATATATATATGGATAAAGAAAATGTGGTATATATTTTTTTCTTTATCTTTTTCCATTCATTTTCTTTATCCATTCATTCACTGATGGATACTTAGGTTGTTTCCATATCTTGTCTACTGCAAATAATGCTGCAATGAACGTGTGGGTGTATATATACTTTTCTTTGGATAAATACTTGGAAGTGGAATTGAAGAATCATATGGTAGTTCTATTTTTAATTTTTTCAAGTACCTCAGACCCATTTTCTGTAGTGGCTGCACCAATTTACATTCCCACCAACAGTGCACAAGGGCTCCCTTTTCCCCACATCCTCGCCAACACCTGTTACTTCTTGTCTTCTTGCTGATAGCCATTCTAACAGGTATGAGGCGATATCTCACTGTTGTTTTGATTTGCATTTCCCTGATTATTAATGATGTAGAGTGCCTTTTCATGTGCCTGTTGGACCTCTGTAGGTCTTCTTTGAAAAAATGTCCTTTCAGTTCCTTAACCCATTTTTAAATTGGTTTGTTTGGGGTTTTTGCTATTGAGTTGTATGAGTTCTTTATAAATTTTGCATAGTAACCCCTTACCAGATATATGATTTGCAAATATTTTCTCCCACTCAGAAGGCTTCCTTTTCATTTTGTTGATAATTTCCTTTGCTGTGCAGAAACGTTTTAGTTTGATGTAGCCCCATTTGATTATTCTTGCTTCTGTTGCCTTTCATTTTGGTGTCAAATTCAAAACATCAATTCCAAGACCAATGTCAAGGAGCTTATTTCCTATGTTTTCTTCTAATACTTTTATGGTTTGTGTCTTACGTTAAAGTCTTGAATCCATTTTGAGTTAATTTTTGCGTATGGTGTAAGATAGTGGTCCAGTTTCATTCTTTTGCATGTGGCTCTCCAGTGAATTTGTGTTTTTTAAGTGAAATCCAATGAACCAACAGAGCACGTTCATGAGGAAAGGGTATATGCACAATATGCGTGACCACTGTTCCTTGCTTCTCCATTCACATATAGCATTTGTGATGCTCCGTGAGCACAGATTTCCAGTGGACCCACATGTGTGGGAATTGAGCAAAACTTAGACTGAGTAAGCAAGTTTCATCAATGACTGAATAAAGAGGGGTTCTGACAGCCCCTAGATGTCATGCTTCCCCTTTGAACCAAACCTTGCTTCAAATGCAAAAAGAAGTCAATTGAGTTCTAAGAAACACAATATTATCATATCCTTTTGTGTGTTACTTCCCTGTATTTTCTACTATTTATGCTAAAAATGAAGACATAGAAGGTAAGGAAAAGATAGGGCACCCTGTAGTTCCTTTTCTTCCCAGTTCTTTCTTACTTATCAATAAGCCAAAGGAAGTGTTGGTAGAATGAACACATACCACAAAGAGAAACCACAGTTGAGTTAGTTTTGTGCAAGGTTTCCATCATACTGATAAGAATGGAATACATGTCCAAGGCATAGAATGCGAATAATGCAGGTTTAGTCATTCCCCACATGAGTTAAGTGTTCTTATATTAGCATTTAAAACTAACATTGCACATTATAAAGATGGATGATAAAATTCATGGTAATAATTAAAAATGCCAATGTTTCTTTACTTAGAACAATAATAACTAGTGAATAAAAGCCACTATGGCAGGTCCAGACAAAGAGAGAGGGAGACTATAGAAGAAAGAGAAAAGCTTTATATTTCAGTACTTTTAAAAGCACTTTTTTCTGCTTTTTGAACAAGGGTCCTCGCATTGTCATTGTGCACTGAGCCCTGTAAATTATGCAGCCAGCCACAGATAGAAATGTCAGCTTCTAGAAGTAGGGTAGAGAGAATGAGTTATCCGGCATGAGCCCAAGGTCTTGGTTTGGTGCCTGGAGATGACAGTGCCACTTCTGGGTCAGGGGAGGCAGGAGGTAGAGCAGGGGGAGATAATAATGACAGCTCAGTAAATGCTGCGTTTGAGGTGCCTGTGGGACATTTAGACAGACTCACCCGGCAGATGGGGAGTCAGGCCTGGGCTTGAGAGAGAGGTAGGTTATCCACAGAAGGGGGACCTCATGCCAATGGCCGAGATCATTCAGGGAGCAGAGAGAGGGGCAAGAGCTCTGAGGAGGAGACTTCAGATGAAGTGTGGTGCAGTGTGGAAGGAGAAACCTGATGTTGGGGCAAGACTTGCCCACAACACACCTAGAGCAAGAAATGTCATGTTTCTTAATTTTTTAAAACAAATTAAATTCTATCCAATGATCTCATTTGGCAGATTGGCAAGAAGCCCTCTGCACAGTCACTTGGCATGGCTCCACGTTCCTCTGCTGGTGGAACAGCACTCGCAAGGTTTACACAGTTTTGCAAACTCCTTTGATTTTACATTTTGCTACCAAGCACCTTAGATGAGAAAGGAAAAATGTGTAGGCAGCCTTGTTTTTTCTTGCCTGCCCATCTCCCTTACTGCCCATCTTCCTGCAGGCATGAGATGTAGATTTAGAGTGATGCAAATAAAACTTAAGTTTCAGAGCCCCTTCCAAGGACCACTACTTAATATATATGCATAATTTTTTTTGTATCTTTTCCTTAAAGTGTGTACTAAAATTGTATAAGCTTCGGGGCCCAGGAAGGCACATTTTTTCCCCACAAACTGCATAACTTACATACCAAATCCCCACACAAACTGATAATGTCATGTGCTCTAGGCCTGGGTGTCTTGATTGCAACGTGAATGTTACAAAATTCCTCTGATGCCATTTTCATCAGAGCTATTTAGGGAAGGGCCCCCAAGCTGGGAAAATTGAGGAAACTTTTTCAGATATGACCCCCCTTAAGAAATGTTTCTATTCCTATATATTCTAGGACATGCGAGGTATATGTATTGCTTAATATATTGCCAGCTGGTGCAACAAATACCTTCCAAATTGTCGGAGGCTGATTCCAATAGTAATTGAGTTCTTGCTCACATTAATTGTCAATGCAGTTACTCCTGGTTGGCAGGCAGGTTTCATGGGTGTGACTCCTTTCATCTAACTCCCCATCCCTGAGAGCACAGAGTCCTCTGCATGAAGCCAGAAAGAAGGAAGAGGAAGTGGCCACCTCCTACATGCTTTGGCCCAGAGGGGACACATCTCGCTTCTACCCATATTCCATTGGTGAGAAACAGTCCATGGACCCACCTAGACGCAAAGGGTGCTGGGAAATGTATTCTCTGGGTGGACAACTATCTACCAGTGATAATTCTATTATTTCAGAAGGAAAAAACTTGAATTTTTGTAGACAGGTTTCTCAGGCTCAGGGTGTAAAGCTATTATTCAGATCACATATTAGCAGCAAATTGCGCTTTCTGATTACACTGCGAAGAGCAAATAAATGTAGACATTTTCTACTGCTTTTTTTTTTTTTTTTTCTTTTCTTTTCCTTTTTTTCCTGTGGGGCTATGGTTAGCCAAAACTGAGGTACTCTCCAGGAATGTTATTCTTATCTCTAGGGACAGTAATTTCTAACTGATAGAGCACTTGTAAAGGCTTCTCCAGGCTCTGAATGAAGCACATACCTTTAAACACTGTTTCAGTTTGTTTCAAAAATAGACTATACATGAGGCCAATTTGTGGAAGTGGAGAAGTTTGACTTCAGGATATCCAGTCTCCTTTTGGTACTCAGTTTCAGATGTCCAGGGCCTGCTGATTTTCTAACCCTATCCCTGATCAGACAAGCTTCTGCAAGGCAAAGCCCTTATCTACTTCACATTTGCATACTTGAAGGTTGAAGTTAGTGCCTGAAAGACAGGGATAGGTGCTCAAACCGTTGGCTGAATAAAGAAAGAAAGAGAGAGAGAGAGAAATTATCATCACTATTTACTTTAAAAACTCATTTGCTCTCTTTTTCCGTTTCATTTCAAGTCTTTTATTTCTCATTGTGGAATAAAAGGCTATCTCCTTCATTAAACGGACTTCAGGCAACAGGAAGCAGGTGGGAGTCTTCTGGTGCAGGGAACTCGTCTCACCCCAGGATTATCCTTTATCCAAATCCTGCCCTGGAGTTAATCCTGTTTCCAACACTTTCCCTTTGGAGGAGGGAGTGCAAGAGCCCTTCCTACTCATGTTCCTTCCCCACCTTCATGCTTAGCAAGATAATTAAGCTGCTCTGATGCACAAAATGGGGAACCTCAGACCTAGCCAAAATAGTTCCTCAACTAATCAGTGGCAAGGAGTTACCAATTAATATAAAAAATAATAATGGTAATAACATTTACTCTGTATTGGGTACATATGTATTAGACAACTTTCTACTGCAATCATGCCTCAAAATAAACATCAAACATGTCAGGAGATTATATCAACACTTATTTTTCTCCTTCATGGGTCTGCAGGGGAACTGGAGTGCAGCTTGTCCAAGGTGGGATCACCTGGGTTTGGCTGACTAGGTTGGATTCCAGGCTGGAGGTTGGGTTCCAGTCAGCTTCAGAATTGTCTTTATTTTGAGACCGGGCTACAAGACACATGCTTCTCCCAGTCCTGGCAGACGGCGGTAGCAAAGCAGTCAAGCCAAACCATGGAAGCATGTTTAGAGCCTCTATTTCACTGACATTCTATTGGCCAAACAAGTCACACGGCTAAGTCCAAAGTCAATGAGGAGGAGTGCCACAAAGACTAATGGCTGACAACAGAACAATCGGGAGCAGTGAGCCTATCCATGATCGGAGAGAGCTCTGACCACAAAACTATCATGTGCTAAACACAGAACAACAGAAATACATACACACTCATGCACACACGCACACAGAGCATACATAATCACACCACCAAAAGAAATACAGTTTAAACACTTTTCTCCTAGGCTCCCGTCATCCTCCCAGATACTCAAGGGAAAACCTAAAAGTCATCCTTGCTTATGTCCTCCTCTCAGCCCCAGCATCTAATCTATCAACAAGTCCTATCTCCAAATAAATCTTGAATCCATTTCCTTCTGCAACTGCATGGTTACCACCATGGTCTAA